TATATATACACACATGCACACATACACATATACATACATATATATATATACACATACACATACATGCATACATACATATACACAGTTCAAAAATGTTCTCTGCAAAAAAGAAAAAGGATAAAAATATTAAATCAATAAAGGCATCAGTCATAAAAATAAATAAATATATATATATATATATATTAAAGAAAAAGGGTCATAACAAAAGTAGATAAACAAACCAGAGGATCCAACAGACCAGAGAAAGACAAATAAGACACATACAGACGAAACACTTACAAAGACAGACAGATAAGACACAGACAATGACAAGATACAGACAAAGACAGACAGACAAGACACAAATGGACAAGACATCTACAAAAAAAAAAAAGACAACTTTCACTCCCATTCACATTCATCTCACTCCTGGTGTTTCACTCCTTCTATAGGTCTGAATATATTTGGAATTGCTTTTATTTTTATTTTTTAAATGTATGGTCAGTGTTGGGCTGATTATAGGGCGTCATAAATTGTTCCCCATACATAGTTAAATTGTGCTTGGTTATTTTTTTCCGCTAACAGGGTTCTTTCAAGGCTTAAATAATATTTTAGTAAGGACTTCCATTTATCTAATCCTGGAACGTCTCGACTTTTCCAATTCTGTAGGATTATTTTTTTGTAAACCAGTGCAGAAAAAATTATTTGCCATCCCATTGGATATCTAACTTTGTCCATGTTCTGAAGTAGACAAACTTTAGGCGTAAGGACAAATTTCTGCTTACATACATTTGAAAGCCATGTTTCAATGGCTGTCCAGGATCTTCGTATATTCTCACAATACCAAAAAGCATGGATAAGCGAGTCCCTTTGATCGCATCTCAGACATGTGGGAGCAGATGTGGAATCAAATTTGTGTATTCTATCCCTGCTATAGTACATTCTAGTCATTAATTTATATTGGATCAATCGGAGGTTTTCATTGGTGGTGGCTGAGTATGTAAGTCGTAATCCATCTTTCCATTTTATTTCAGTATCAGAACTGTTCATGTCCTTGTTCCAGTTTTCGTATATTTTTTTAAAAAGATCCTTACTGCTCTTAGGTGTGATAAGCCATTGGTAAAGGGTGGAAATAAGTCTCTTTCGTTTGTCTCCTTCAAATATTTGTCTAAATTTTTCTGGGACTATCATCTTGGTGTCACAATGTTCTTTTATCCAGTTTGTCAGTTGCATATATTTAAATACTTCGGAGTTTTTAAGTTTGAATTTCACCTGAAGATCATCAAAGGGAGTAGCGTGATTGGAAGTTATTATATCAGATAATGCTTTAATGCCACTTTGCATCCAAGCTTCCCATCTTAAGGTGGTACCTTGAATTTTTATAGAAGGGTTATTCCAGATCCCAATATGAGTAGGGGTACCCACTTCTACAAGTAGCAGTCGTTTTGTCCTTTTCCACATTTTCAGGGTGCTATTGATAACAAAGTTATTGCCCTTCACTTTTTTCTCAGAGAATAACGCTGATAAAAAATTTCCCGGTTGTAATTGGTAATTCTCTATTTCAATCCATGGATCTTCGTTAGTGTGGTTAATGATACGATCTATATAGAACATCTGTGCTGCAGTCTGATACAGCTCCATATTAGGGAGGCTTAACCCTCCTTCGTGTTTGGAAAGAAATAATATGTCCCTTTTGATTCTAGGAGTTTTGCAAGCCCAAATAAAGGATGAGATAATTGAATTTATGTTTTTGTAAAATGTTTTCGGTGGGTTCAAAGGTATACATTGAAAAATATACAAAAACTTTGGAAGCCATATCATTTTTATTACATTTATTCTGCCAATTAAGTTTAACCTTAGGTCAGAATACTTATCAAGACTATGTTTAAATTCATTTTTTAACCCTTGAAAGTTATTCTTAAACAATGTTCTTTTATCAGCGCTTATATAGCAGCCTAAGTATTTAATTTTAGTTTGTACCTTAAATTGTTTTAATTGTTCCATTTGTTCTTGATTTTGGTTTATTGATAAAATTTCAGTTTTTTCCATGTTTATTTTATATCCTGATATTTTTGAAAATTGCCTTATTATAGTTATTGTACTTGGAATAGAGGATTGGGTGTTCCTCAAGTATAGTAACAGATCGTCAGCAAATAAACTTAACTTGTATTCTTTTATACCTATATTAATTCCAATTACACTTTTTGTCTGTCTAATCTTTTCTGCAAGGGGTTCAATCGCGATGGCGAACAAGGCTGGGGATAAGGGGGAGCCTTGGGCAGTGCCCCTGCTCAGGGCAAAGGGCTTAGATAATACCCCATTGGTATATACTCGAGTTTGGGGTGCTTGATACAGTGTTTTAATCATATTAATAAAATCGTCTGGGAATTTAAATGCCTCGAGCACTTTATACAAGTAAGACCATTCAAGTCGGTCGAATGCCTTTTCAGCATCAACCGCCATCAGAGTCAGATCTATTTTATGCCTCTTTGCATATTGTACCAGAGATATGCATGTTCGCGTATTTGTTTTAAGGTCTCTTTTTGCAATAAACCCTGTCTGGTTAGGGTGTATAATATTAGGTAGTATCAATGCCAAACGATTACTCATTACCTTTGATATAATTTTCCGATCACAGTTAATCAAACTTATTGGTCGAAAATCTGAGGGCTTGTTGCAAGTACGACCTGGTTTAGGGATCACTGTGATAGTTGACATGTACATAGTGCTCGGTAGTTTCCTTTGTGTAGTAAAGAGACTTATCACCTCCATGAATAGAGGCCAGATATCAATCCAAAATGTTGAGTAAAATTCAATTGGAAGGCCATCTGTTCCTGGGGCCTTCTTCAAGGGGAAATCCTTAATTGCTGCTTCTATTTCCGTATTGGTAAATACTTCCTTAAGTTTTTTTCTTTGCTCCACTGTTAGACATTTTAACTTTAATGAATCAAGAAATGGTTCTGAGTCCTCCATAGCCTCTGATGTATATAACTCTTTGTAAAAATTGGTAAACTTTGTATTAATAATATTATTATTAGTAATGATATTCTCTGAGTCTTCCTCTTTTAGACTAATGATATTTGTCTTTGCTACTCTTTTAATTATTGAGGCTAGATGCTTCCCTGATTTATTTGCCGATATATAATTAATCTTGTTAGAATTATGTCTAAGATCTTTAGCTTTTTCCAATAATATATTGTCCATCTCTAGTCTTTTCTTTTGTAAGTTAATCATAATTGTATGGTCGCCCTTTTTGTGCTGTTCCTCTAGACTATGTATTTCTTTTTTAATCTTTGATACATTTTGTTCAAAGTTAGCTTTCCTTCTTGCAGAGAAAGCAATAATTACTCCTCGAATATAGGCCTTAAAGGTGTCCCATATAATGTCAATACTAGGTTTGTCTCGAGGGTCAGGTTCATTCACGTTTGTTGACATAAAAATATGAATATGCTCTCTAATGTGTTCTATAAATTCTTTATCCATTAAATATTTCCTGTTTAATCTCCACAACTTATTTGAGAAGGTATTTTCTCTAGGGGTCATGGTGCAAGTGACAGAGGCGTGGTCCGATATAACAATATTACCAATATTGCATGATAAAAAATTGTTCAAACTGTTGAGTGAGACAAAAAAATAATCTAATCTACTGTAACTTTGTTGAGGGTGCGAATAATATGTGTAATCTTTAGCATTAGGATGCATTGTTCGCCATATATCAGCCAAGGAATTAACAGAGATAAATTTGGCTAGATTTTTGGGGACATGAATTTTCCTATTTTTTGATGAACTATCATATATACTAAAGATTGTATTTAGATCTCCCCCCATAACTATACATCCAGGTGGCGAACTGTCCAGCACGGTTTGTATTGTCTTTAAAAAGGCCATGCTGGAATTTGGAGGTCTATAGATATTCAAAAGAGTGTAGAGGTCGCCAAATATTTCACATTTAATAACTATATATCGACCAAACTGATCTGCATGCTGTGAAATTAATTTAAATGGTATTCTTTTATTAATTAAAATTCCTACACCTCTGCTTCTGGTCGTGTATGCTGCTTCAAAAGCCTCGCCCACCCAATGCCTTTTAAGGTATTCAATTTGACCAGCTTTTGATGTGGAGTTCTTGGAGGAAGACAATATCAGCAACATTTTTTCTAAATTATAAATGACTTTGTGTTTTTTAACCCCCTCTTTTAACCCATTTACGTTCCAAGTTACCATCGTGAAGGAATTCAAAATATTATCCCCTAGATTAGTATGCATTTTATTTTTTTTAATTCCTTAAGGCATATGCCAAACCACAACCAAATCCAACACTGTCCAGTAAAAAAATATTCGGCCTTTAAGAGGAGCATTTCCACATACACACACTCATTCATACAGACAAACATAGAAACATGTAAACAGATAACATTTACCCCTTTCCTTCCCAGTCTATTCCCTATGAACATGCTTTGCTAGAGCTTAACTCCCTACCCTATTTGACGTGGAACTTTTTGGCTATCTCCTAAACAATAATTCCCCCCCCTCTCTATACTATTGATACTTGAGTAACTTACATAAGCTAAGTACTATTAGAAAAATAGTAATAATAATAATAATAATAAAACATAATAATAAATAAATAAGTATATGCCTCTTAATTTTTTTTTTTTTTTTTTTTTTTATATACACATACATATATATATACATATATACATACATATAAAAAAGTATAGCATCCGTGTTAGAAAAAAAAAAATGCAAAAATTATAATAATAATAATAATAAGATAAAAAGTAAAAACGAAGAAAGACAAGGAAAATATCTAACAAAGGGAGTACCCTGGGGGTAATAATGCTAAATATCTACATTAATTTAATACTAATCCCATTTTATACCGAGTTGACTTTTCCCCTTTTTCCCCTCAGCAAAGTCCTCGTCTCATCACAAATTAAACAACCCAATGTTCCTTCCATACAGTCCATGACCGTTTCCCAATCTTAAAGTTCTTACCCGTTGATGTTCGTTAGCACAAGTCATTTTATAGTTGGATACTTCTTTGTCAGCTCCAATTTAGCTTCCTCCAGTGACGTGAAAGCGGTCGCTCGTCCTCCCTCGTCAATATGCAGGGTAGCCGGGTATCTCAAAAAGGTCTTTATGTTCATCTGGTGCAACTGTTCTCTAAGAGGCCAAAACGCTCTCCTTCTTGCCCGCACCATTGAAGACATATCCGGCACGATTCGGAGTTTACCTCCCTCCGCTGGTTCCCGGGCTCCTCTCTGGATGTATAGTTTCTTCTGGAAGTGGTGCAGTTTAAAGATGATAGCGCGTGGGTACCTAGCATTGTCGCTCACAGGTCCAATGCGATGCGCCCTCTCGAAGTCCTCCTCTGTTAGCTTCAGATTCCACCTCTCCGCGAGGGTCTTGACCAAGAAAGATGTCAATGGTAAGTCTTTCTCGTATCCTTCAGGAACGTTCAGGAGCCTCAGATTGTTTTGCCGATGTCTATTTTCGAGTTGGTCAATCTGTTCCAGCGCATCTTGGAGTTTTTTCCCCAGTGCATCCACTTTGCTCTCTTGCGTCTTAACCAAGATAGTATACTCATGCACTTCCGCCTTGGTAGCCTCGAGTATATGCTCCAATGCCTCGATCCTTTTTAATGCGGAGTTTAACAGTACATTTGTGTCTGTGTTAACTTGTAGCAGTTGGTTTAATTTACACTCCAGACCGTCGAATCTAGAGTTATAATCTGGCTCCGACGTCTCCATATCTGCCATTTTCACTCGCTGCCTCGTGACCACAGTTTTAGGCATAAGTGTCAGCTTGACCTGTCCAGTGCTCTTTGGAATGACGGTACAGATCGACTTTGACAAAGTGTGGTCTTTCTCCGGTCGGGGGGTTTTAAAATACCAGTTTTTAAGCCAAATGTTTCACACGTCGTGAGGAGCTCTTAGCTCATACGACCTCTCACGCCGCGCAGTATTCATTTGTAAATAAATACATTTGCATTCGTTTTAGCCAAAGGTTGGTTTATTAAGTTGATCTAGGGCCCGACAACATGGATTTGATGCCCATATTTTGACGAATCTGAAGTTGGCTGAATGACAACTTCATCTTTACCAACTTTAAATCTGCTCAAATTGTGCTCAGGGCATCTTTCAAAATCACTGCCACCTAAAAAGTTGTTTCATGACAGAGCGGGCCACCACAAATGCAGACTAGGGGTGAAAAAATAAATTAAATCAACCTAAATTAAGGACCATGTAAAAAAAAATTGATGTGTGTTTCAGAGCGAGGAGTGAACATTTGGAGTGATTTAGATGATGAATTGAACATTTCATTCAATTTAAAAAACTGCACTGCAAAAAGTGATCAAATATGAGGTAATAAATGCTTTAGTGGTTTTTATCTTAATTTGGGTACATTCTGACTGTCTTAATGTCTTAAAGAAATGCTTGACTTTTTGCAGTGTGCGTGTGTTCGCTGACGATGCCACATATTGAAAGAATAGAACATCTTTCGAGCTTGTGCATTAGTGCAGTGAGAGACTGAGGGGGATTTTGTTGTTAAATAAATGCATTTTTTGTGCAAAACCCCGACTGCAGCTCCCACTCCCTCCCACACAGCCGTGGCCCAAACTGCCTCTGGGATCATAATATCTGCATCCTCTGTTTCAGACTGTCAGACATTCCTTTTCACAAATCTTTTAGTTTTAATCACATTAGGACTTAGTTTCTTCATCAAAAATATCCAGAATTGTCCGTCCATCAGACACTTTTTGTTTTATTGCTGCTTCTTGGTAAACTACGACACGCAATAGTGAACAGATTCATTATAGAGCAGGCCGTTTAAATAGATTTTTTTTGTTAAATCTCCTTCTGCTGTATAACCTCAACAAATAAAGTCAGTGCTTACATTAGTGCCAAAACATGTCCAATTTAAACATACCTCCATGATGGAAACCTGGTAAGGTTTTGGTTAATTTAAGGACAGGCTTTCTTCAAAGGCGCATCAAAGGCCATTTTATTGGGCAGTAGAGTTAACTGTCCTGTCTCCCACAATGACAGCTGTAATATGTGCCAGTGCTTTTAAAGAGGGAGAGGACTGAGAGGTAAGAAAACTAAATGGTTCCTGCTCTTCATAGATCAGACTTGGAACCTGCAAATTACAAAAAATAAATTTGCAAGTTAGGTTTAAACTCTTAGCACTACCTCCCCATGTATAATGTTTTAGCAATATTTCACTGGGAATAAAGGGTAATCCTGATCTGCAAACAGATCACTTTAAACCGATTCATGGAAAACAACATTCAATCATAAACATACCAATACCGACATACATTTTTCTTTGGCCTGACATCAACTGCAAACTAACATACCATTTTAATTGGCGATGTTACATTTTATTTGAGTAACTGGGTAACTGTAGTTTTTAGATTAGAGTTCAGTGGACTGAAAAGATCATGGTTTTAAAACCACCATAAACAAATGTGAACACTGGATTTCAATGCAAAGAGCTTCCACAAATCGGAATCTGAAACAAACCAGATATTTGTACCATAAATTCAAACTATAATATATCCATGTATCATAATTCCTCTCACCTATGAATTCTAAACAACAGTCATTCGTAAGTGCAGATGTTTTCCATTTGACTCTCCCTTGTCTTCAAACTGTAGAAAGGAGCTGAAGCAGAGCAGGAAGCAGAGTGGTTAGTTATTCCCCCCCCTCTCTGTCAGCCAGAGAATGAATCTTGTATGTCTTGATTGATTGCGCTGTAATAGACCTTTAAGGCACCAGCAGGTAAGGCTTTTTCCTGCTGCTAACTTCCAAACGGCTTAATTAATCTGGCAAAACAGGCTCTGAACGTGGAGCAGACAGCGGGAGGCTAAAGACACCGAGATCACCTGACCACAGTGGCCAATCACAGCCCACCAGCTCCGACCTGGTTGAATCAGCGACATAATACTGGAGCAGTAATGAGACCTGGCATGGTAATAATTCTCAAATTAACTCTTAACACTTTGTCAGAAGAAACCAAGTCTTTAAACTACAACATAAAACGTTAACCAAAAGTGTTGGGCAGCAGCTAAAAGGACATATCCATCATATGCAAACCGTTTACTGTAGATATTTGTTTGTTTGGTTTGTTATTCTGCAAATTACAAAGACTTCTATGCTAAAAATGCAAACATGAGATTGACAGGGAAAAGATGATGATTTGACGTTTGTTCTGGTTTTTAAAAGCTATTTCGGTTTTTACCCTAAACTTTACCAAAACTCGCACCTCTCGTTTTCCACAGGGTTTCTTTCATTCCTTCTCCTGTCTTTTGTCCAGTGTTATTTATGTCCTGTACAATTCACATACACACAAAAAAAGTCAAATTTTTTATTGTATCTTTATTACCTTAATGTCAGATATAACGCTAGATTCACGAGTTAAATCTAACATACAGTGATCACTTAGAACATAGTTGTTTTTGTATGTAATTGAGAAGAAATATTTGGCTCCTCCTCTTTTAGTCAACCAATCAATCAATAAGATATGCTTTGCATGGTTACAGCTGTAAAATACTGAATCTGTAGCTACATTTGAGGATGAAGATGGAACTTGACTGACCTCTCTTTGAAAGCGTATTAGACACTGCATGTAAACTGTCATCGTCTGAAACTGGACTGGCCTCAATGGGTGGTTCTTGGTCAGCATCAGGAAAAACCTGCATGGTAAGAGTATGCTTCTCTGGTTTGACAGTATAGACTGGAAAGTCTCCAGCTTTTGTCACCACAACATAGACGTCCTGCTCCCACTTATCACTGATCATGTGTTTACCCCTCAGCCACACACTGCGCAAAAGAACACTGTCCCCAACAACCAGCTTTGACGGAATAACCTTTTGATCGAACCGGACCTTTTTCTTCTTAACAACTTTAGCATTGTTTTTAGAAGCAATTTCAGAACTTTCCTTTGGACTCAAAGTCCGGCCCTTGGTCTGTATGCAAGATGTATCTCATGATAGACAATTAAGTTGTCCCAGAGACATTTTGCCTCTGTTCTGCCTTTTGGTTGAATTTGGGAAAAGCTAAAGAAAACTTTGAAAAGTGGTCAGTCAACACAAGGATGTCTTTGGTGTGGCTGGTGTCTGGTTCAAGACTGAGAAAATCCATAGAGATACTGTATGTTCCAATGGTCGGGAAGTTTGTACTGTTCAGGACTTTCTCCGTAACAGCTTTACGACGATTACGACGTCCACAAGTTTCGATCTTATGCTCAACATCAGCAGCCATCCTGGGCCAATAAAAACGGGTGCGATCCAACGAGATTGATGTGATGCTTTCCATTAATAGCGCAGCCAAAGTTCATGTCAGAAAATACTGTTGACATTGAGCTTAACTTGGTTTTGACTCCCTCTTTCCAATCGGGTGGTATCGGTGATTCACCAAAATCAAAGTTCAGCGAAGTGTCTTTATTCTCTGATGAACTAGTCACATGGTAGCCTGACTCTCGCCAGACCCTTGTAGTTCTGCCATGCTCCACCAAAGGTGTTTGGCTGAACCACATGGGTCTGGTATCGACGCCATAGCAAACTTCTTCAGCAGGTCAGAAAATAATCAACCAATCAGGATCGCCGATGTTTCGTCGGGTTTGCACCGCCTTCTCAAGCGTGTCTCACCACCAGCGAAAGCAATCCAAGATGGCAGACATGAAGTCCGTGAATTTTTTTAAAAGTTTAAACACGATCACTTTAATCACTTTTAATGCAATATGAGGCGAGATGTTGGTGGTTCCATGTTGTTATACGTGTGTTTTAAGAGTCAAATGTTCATGTAAAGTTTGGTTTAAGTGCTGGTTTAAGTGTTCCTTTTTACAACACTATGCAACAGGGTTGCCAGGTTGGGTGGTTTCCTGCATACTTTTCTTCAAGAGACTTGTAGGTAATAAATAAACAGAAAAACAGTAAACAGAATCATGATAGCCCAAGTTGATTATATTACATTTTTAGCCAAAAAAACATTCTGGGTGGGTTTTTTTTTGGGCATTCTCGCAGGTTTTGGGTTGGAAAATCTTGCCGGCATTTGGCAACCCATGGGAGTCGTGTGCTTCGATGTGAGTGGTTGAAGGAAGACATCATTCAAGATAACGGACAAGTGGTTTATCCAATCACATACAAAGATTTTCTTTAGAAGGCCCCGCCTTCTGAAGTTCAACTGCTATGGAGTAGGCCCAGACGCATGTGTGAAGTGCAGCGCACTAAATGGGTCTGGCGAGAGTCAGGCTCGTCACATGGTGCACTAATGGAGATAATAAATTGAAAGGCTTCTAGTACTACTATGATTGTTAATGGTGGTATGAATGTGTCTTGTTCTGATTCGTTCCTCACCATAACTGAAACTTTACAAGTGTTTAATTTAAAATGAAACTAGTATTGTAGTCACTTGTGACAGACATGTACTGTGGTTATTATTAACTTCAACATCTGATGAACATCTTGAGCCAGCAAGTCCTTTTGGTACTACTCTTCCCACATTTGAACTTGACTGTAGCTCTGAACACTGGGCAGTAAATTGTTCTTTTGCAGGACAAGATTGGTCCTGCTCAGTTCCTGGACGTCACACACCAGAAACTGAAGCTAGTTTAACTTCTCCCTTGGTGTGGAAATTTCTTGCTGCCATTCACGATGCGACAGTGTCTCAGTTGGTAGAGCATTGGCCTTAGAGCCTGAAGGTCGTGGGTTCGAGCCTACCATAAGACCTACTTCACGACTCTGCACTGATGACTGCTGTCGTTGTGTCCTTGGGCAAAACACTTCGCCTGA